TTTCTTTCTCATTCAGTGCAAAGTGATTGAAAACGCATGCAAATCTATCTTTCTTTATTCTTTCCTTTCTTCTTTCTTTCTTTCTTTCGTTCTTCTTTTTCTTTCAGAAGCTCTGCGCAATGTGACAGAAAAAAAAACATGCAAATCTATCTATCTATCTATCTATCTATCTATCTATCTATCTATATCTTTTTTCTTTCTTTCATTCTTCAACATTTTTTCTTTGTTATCCATTTGAGAGTTTTCGTTATTTTAAATGCTATAATTCCATTTTAGTCTTATACTTGAATTCGTTTCTTTAATTAAAAAAAGTTTTCTACTTTAGTTGGTTTTTAGCTATATTGCTTATTCATTTTCTTTTCCTTTTAATTTTATACTCTTTTCTGGCTTAATTTTTCTTAATTCTATTCCTTTTGTAAACGTGTTTCATTTTTACTATTTTTCTCTTAAGTCTTGCTTTAATTCTTTTGAATTATCTCCCTTTAACTTCATTCATTTTTGTTCATTTTTATACATTCTGTTTTTTTTTTCATTCATAATGCTTTTTCTTGCAAAGTTTTCTATTTTACCTTTCAGATTTATCATGTCTTATATCCCACCCGTGGCGTCACGAATCCCAGCGACAGGATGAAGTCTCATCAGTTTTGCTTAATAAATCCTAGTCTCACCGAGCATTAAAACAAAATTAAAAAAAAAAAAAAGAATAAAGAAAATTTGGTAATCCGAGATCTTCAGGCAAGCGAGATGGGTGAGGTTCTCAGATAGACATTTTGTATTGGGATCATACTAAAGTTGGATTTACTATTTAGATACGGACAAATAAAAAAGAAAGAGGTAAAAACTACTTTTTGTAAGTAGATGTTAAAATTCTTAATACAATTTGTGAATTTCAGTAAACAAAGACCAAACAAGTATATAATATATTAAGGATTATTGGACAGATGAAGTGTATATATATATATATATATATATATATATATATATATATATATATATATATATATATATATAAATCGATTCTCCCGTCGGGTTCGACGTACGAGGGTTAAGCATATCAGTTTCCAGGAAGCTGACAGCCCGACACCGGCACATGAGATTCGATTATAGTGGTGAAGGTTTCGTTTCGTGAAGGGCCGAATACAGAGACCTGGTGCACTACGTGCCACAAGGTCCCCAAACGACCCCCTCAGGTTTTGAATTCAGAGTTGTCCTTCTGCTAGACCAGTTGCCATCCAAGGCAATAGAACCCACTCTGTCCTGCTATTTAACCCATAGCTGGAGGGAGAAGAAGAGGATTTACACCTTTGCCAAGGGTATTAGAACGTAAATGAAATGTAATGGATTCAACCTGGATTCGAACTCGGCTCTGCGATTTCACAATCTAAGCCGATATCCATTACCTCAGAGCCTCCTTCCTTCCTTCCTTCCGTCAAAAAATATATATATATATATATATATATATATATATATATATATATATATATATATATATATATATATATATATATATATATATATATATATATATATATATGGTGCGTCAAAATTAACGCCATTTTTAGGAAAAATTGAATGGCCTTCACGACCACCAGAGCTAACATCAACATACATTTTTCTTGTGCGGTGTTCTGAAACATCTTGTTTACAGGCTCAAAACGATAGCAATTCTGGAATTAAAACAAGCAATTTCTGATAAATTTTCTGAAGTAAATGCAGAAATGTGTCAAATTGTTTCTAGAAGTATTGTCGATAAAGTTCAGTGTTGTATTGAACATGAAGATCATTTTGAACATGTTAAATCATGTTGTATTGATGTGACAATACTTATAAATCTTCTTAAACTCGTTTAATTTATTTTTGTTGAATAAATGTTAATAAATAAAAAAGCGTGTTACATTTGTCGCACCCTATACACACACACACACACGCACACACACACACACACACACACACACACACACACATATATATATATATATATAAACATGTCTCATTTGATAATTTTGACAAGTTTTTTTCTACTTATTTTCAGTTTTATCTTCTATTCACAGACAAGCTTCTTAGTATCGTTAGTAAAGGAAGAGAGAAAATTACCATGTTGATACATATTCATTTATTCCGAGTACTTTCAATATTAGCACAATGACATCATCAGGGTGTTGTCTTTTTCTAAGACTAAATTGTTGTGTTCATCTGAAAGTTAATTTTTTTTAACTGTGAAGTGAAAAAACGCTAGATACGTTTTAAATTTCACGATGTAAACGTCAGGGGCGGTAACTAAGTTTTGAAATGCCCATGTTACGACATATATATATACATACATATATATATATATATATATATATATATATATATATATATATATATATATATATATATATATATATATATATATATATATATATATATATATATATATATATATATATATATATATATATACACACACACACATATATATATATATATATATATATATATATATATATATATATATATATATATATATATATATATTAGTGGAAAGACATATGATAAAGTTAAGTTAAAAAAAGTTTCCGTGTGCTTTTGTTTCGTCGCTTAGGTCTTCATCGGAGTAAGTTAAATGTTTACAAAAAAATGCAACAAAAACATGCGCACGAAAGAGATACACTAGGAAAATTAAATTTAATAATTTTAAAAAATACGTATTTTGGGCATATAATCTAGACGAGTTCATTGATGTTTTTTTCTCTTTTTGTTTATATTTCCATCACATTTGTTGTTAAATATCGCACATTGTGATAATAGAAAATCTGCCAAGAATGGTGAAACGTTTTAAGAACCTGGAGGCAAATTTTGCTCTGGATGATCTAGCGATTAAAGCATTTTCATCTTAGCAAATTGTTTTCTCTTTTAGAGTAACATGTTTTAAATCAAAATTATGGTCAACCTTATACGGTGAGCAACTAATGCATTTAATGTGTTGTTTTGTATAGGACCACTTTTGTGTTCATATAATCTGTTATTTAAATTCCTTGAGGTTTCTCCGATGTATTCCTTGTGGCAATAATTACAGGTAAATTCCTACTTCAAGATTTAGCTTATCTTTATTGTTTTGTATTAAGTCTTTTATTTTTTTTAAACGTAGTTGTGACAAATTTTATTTTGAGTTTAGATAAAATCTTTTCGATTGTACTTTTGATAAAATTAGTGGGTAGAAAAAATATATTTTTTTTTGATTTGTTAGATTTTT